GTTCTTTGACTTCATAACCTTCGATCAGTAACCACTCTGTAGCCCTGACCTAAATCCCATGAATGTCTCAATGTGGTCAGCCTCTGAGATGAAAGCATCCTTCAGCCCAAGCATGAGAAGAAATAATCTCGAAAATGCTTAGCAAAAAGCCGGGACCATTTCGATGATCCTAGCTGCGTGCCACCGTCAATGCCGTCCATCGCCGTCTTTGGGGTTGGGTGAAAGCAGAAAGCAACAGATCCCGGTCTCAATGTACAGTTTTGATAAGAAATTTGTGCTAAACCCTTTAATGAAATTGGTTTGCTCTATTGGCTTTCTATTCGTTTTCTGCGATGTGATTTCTGTGTAATCATAATTTTGGCCTACCCTGTAGTTCATACTGGAGAGGAAAGCCTGCGCTTCATAGCGCACCACTGTTGTTGCTCATAAGAAACCACAAAAAAAACCCAGGCTGGAGTTCCTCAAGAAACTCTGCGTGCCGCCGTCGATGAGTAGCTAAAGCATCTTTGAGCTATAACTGGTACAGAAGACCATTATATAAGATCACCGTGTGCTCACTTTGTAGATGTGATACATAGTAAATAACTCACATGATTTCACCACGTATCAATATGGACTGCGGTTTTTGTATTCCAATTCTTCTGTTACCATCTTTATGGCGCACCCTGTAGTTTGTCACCTACTCTCAAAGTTCCCACCTAGCCTGTACTCCCATCAAATTCGAACGCGTACATGGGAACAGGAATAATAAACTTCCGTTGAAGCCACTCTTAGCGCACGCCACACCCTCCGTGGGCGGAGCCTTGCTTAGATCATATGTTCCTGAGTAGCTCTACTCATTCCCCCTTGTTTCAATTTGGATATCCTTACTATATATAAAGCGCTCTGTCTGTCTGTCTGTCTGTTTGTTTGTTTGTTTGTTTGTACGGAAATTCGATATAACCTGAAGAAACACCTGGAGAAGTCGGGTCAAGTTTGGAATGGGTTGAGCATAGGGTAAGTGCAACAGAGCACATGTGAGCCTAGCGGAGCTCCGCCCCCAAGGGGCGGGGCATGCGCCGGAATTGGGCGGGGTCATGGGCGAATTATTCTAATTCGGTCTCATAATGTTCCAGACACCGGGAAAAAATGTGCATAGGTGAGGGATGGGTCAACAATCAAAATAAAGGAAACTTACCGGCGGTGGGCGGAGCGTTCTCGCAGTGGGCGGTACTTTCCACAGAGATTCATAACTCGATTTAACGAAGGCGTCGAGGCCAGGGAAAAAAATAAAAAGAGGGAGCAAGGCCTTATGCGTGCTGAGCATGTAAAAGTATAGCGAAGCCCCGCCCACGAGGGGCGGGGCGTGCGTTTAGGTGAAAGCTACTTTTCAAAAATTAGTGTAACTTCGTTCGGAAAAGTTATAGAATGCGGAAAAAAAGTGGTTAGAGGTAATGGGACCAATGTGGTCAAATCCCGAAAGTGGGCGGGGTTGGCACCAAAGTGGGCGGGGCTTAGANTGTGTAATCATAATTTTGGCCCACCCTGTATATAGCGTAGCAATAATTACGAAAAAAGTAGTAATTAGTAAATATTAGTTAGTAACNTGATTCGAACCGGTCATATTGTCACGATGAAGCTCCTAACCGCAGAACAGAAATTGTCTAGGATTTTTGTGAAAGGGGTTTTTGACTTCATAACCTTCGATCAGTGACCACTCTGTAGCCCTGACCTAAATCCCATGAATGTCTCAATGTGGTCAGCCTCTGAGATGAAAGCATCCTTTAGCCCAAACATGAGAAGAAATAATCTCGAAAATGCTTAGCAAAAGCCGGGACCATTTCGATGACCATAGCTGCGTGCCAACGTCAATGCCGTCCATCGTCGTCTTTGGGGTTGGGTTAAAGCAGAAAGCAACAGATCCCAGTCTCAATGTACAGTTTTGATAAGAAATTTGTGCTAAACCCTTTAATGAAATTGGTTTGCTCTATTGGCTTTCTATTCGTTTTCTGCGATTTGATTTCTGTGTAATCATAATTTTGGCCCACCCTGTAGAATAGTTGGGTATGGCCAGCTGATCCCGCTAAACTACTCTATTTGAAGTTTGTTCTCCAATAGTAGGCGTCAGAGTCGTTCGAAACATCACGAATCCCGCCGCGCAATTTGCCGCACGCACCCAGAATCGCACGAATCGTGCGTCCCCCAATCAGTCCCAATCATCTTCCAGAAGCTGGTTTTTTGAAGGTGTTCGTTACCATATAGTTAGTCAGTGCTCCCTTAATTCCTTTTACAGATCCCACTCACCCCCGAGCTAAAGGAAACATCAAATGGTACGAAGATCTGTTGGCTCAGGAAGGTGTAAAGAAGTCTGAAATGAGGAGGTGAGCTTTTTCGCTTTTTATGATCAAGTCATTCTAAGAACTTTCCATTCACAGGTCCCTGGATCCAATAAGGAACGACCGACCTGCCAGTGTCCTTGGTAATACGGAGCGAACGATTTACGAGGCCCTCTGCAGGAACGAAGTGCCCGTGGTTTGTTATTGTCTAGGAGTCTGGTTACATCGAAGTGCTTGATAATGACTACATTGTTTTAGAGCCCAAAGGAGATCTCAAAGCTCTACTGTTACTACAAGCGGGACAGGCCATTTTTGGTGTACGCACCGATCAAAGTGAGTTTTATGAGCATTTCCAACACATGATATTTGTATTATCAGCAGATCCATCTTGTGGAAAATACTTTCGAGCCTAATCTGACAAGTCGATCATCGCCCGCTGAATGACTGGTATCCTTCCTACTTGACTTGTAATTGCCACTACAGCTGAAGAAAGTGGGTGAGAACCAAGAAGTAGGGAAATAGGGAAGAACTACGAAGAACATCTGTTTAGTGATGAGCTCTTTGATATCTCTAGGACTTTACGCATGGCGCAGCTGGGCAGCTGGATGTGGTGCAGTAGGAACGAAATTGTCGCGTCGCGGCAAGGGAGACGTCGCGCGCGAAGGAACGTAGCAGAATGCATCAGCAAGTGAGAAATATAGGAACAAAAGAACTACCAGTAGAATCATGTCTGAAGTAATAATTGCATAGCGACTGAGCTGTATGGAGAACGCTAGAACTGTCATAACGAGGCAAATGGTCCGCGACAGCCGCGTGCGGTGGATCGATCACACGAAACCGCTCCTACTGTCCGTCTCCGTGGGCAGCTACATTATGTTTCACATTGTTCCATAAGAAGAAGTTTTCGTACGAGGAACAAGGACGTGGAAAACGTCGAAATCGGTCGATCTACTATGCACGGCTCACAGTGATGTCGGAGTACCTAGTTTCGGTCGAATAATAGAAGAGATAGACCAGATCAGTGAATGCTCCAAAAAATGAAACTAGGGGTTGGACGAGATCATGCAACAGAAGTTGCATGGAAGGGTACGTGAAGGAGCTGTAAGCTGCCTGTGTGCAATGTCGAAGGTGTGCACCATTGAGTCCAGCTGTCTACAGTAAGCTGCCTGCGTGCAACTTGGGCGTGTCCCGGTACGAATGGTGCAACTACATCTTTTACAAGGAGAGAAGTGGCCTGAAGGAGGCGTAATAAGGCGTTTTGCTCGTATACTTCTACACCGTTTCCAATCGTGAACTTTTGGCGGTCATCTGTGAAGGACACGTTATGGAAGGAATTGATCTGTCAACTTCCTTAACTTCGTTGATTGCGAAACATCAGTCTTTGAGATAAATCAACTTGACCAAAGTATAATTCGAACAGCACGTAACGCACTTGCAATTGCATCAGCAACTCGTTATTCGTCTTGTAGATGTGACTCTTTCCGTCCTTGAATAGAGAAATCAACGCTGTGATGTCTTACAAATGGAATGGTGAATCGGGGTCGATTGTCCGAAAATTGGGACTGCACGTTGTACGTGCACATTTCAGGTCGAAATCAAGCGATTCAACCCGTTGGCGGTACTCTTCAAAGACGTGGTAAGCGATGATGAAATTGAGAAGATCCAGGAACTGGCCAAGCCAAAGGTTTGTGAACTGCCCTTTCCATCTTCTCGTGAATCTAACAGTGTTGATCGTTTAGCTGGCCCGTGCCACTGTTCACGATGCTGCAACGGGCACCCTCGTTACCGCTACCTACAGAATCAGTAAGAGGTTGGTGAACGGCTATGAATTTTCAATCAGGGGCCACTTGAATAGGTGAACGGTTCTAGTGCATGGTTGAAAGGATGGGAAGATGAAGTCGTGGATCGAGTAAACAAGCGTATCGATATGATGACCAACCTCGAAATGGAGACCGCTGAAGAACTTCAGGTGCCTGTTGGCTTGTGATCCAACGATTGCTTTCGTCAAAATGTCTTTTCCAGATTGCCAACTACGGTATCGGTGGTCATTATGATCCTCACTTTGATCACGCAAGAAAGGAAGAGACCAAGTCGTTCGACTCATTGGGCACTGGTAACAGAATCGCAACTGTGCTGTTCTATGTGAGTTTCGCTCGGGGGTATTTCTCTGTAAGAGCCTTGGAGCATCGAGGATAACCTTTTTACCCTATTCACTTTATTATACTGGTTAGAAACCAAGCAACTAGAATGAAACGGAGGCTCTTCGTGGTCTGAGAGGCCTTCCTTTCCACCCCCTGAATACAGTTGCNTATACTTCTACACCGTTTCCAATCGTGAACTTTTGGCGATCATCTGAGAAGGACACTTTATGGAAGGAATTGATCTCTCAACTTCCTTAACTTCGTTGACTGCGAAACATCAGTCTTTGAGATAAATCAACTTGACCA